CCCCCCCCCCCCCCCCCCCCAGTATTTATAGAGAGACGGCAGCTCCGATCACACACTGCCTGCACTGGCACAAAGCAGAAAACACCAGCCTGAGGATGGCAAGTGGGACCTCGCTGAAATATTGTCAAGATATTTTTAATCTTACACAGGAAAAGACCCAAACACACTGAGACCTACATACCTGTACCTGTGAAAATCTATGAATATGTATATGTATATATATATATATGTATATGTGCTGTGGCTCTGAGGCTTGAGACTACATTGTTAGAGGAAGAAGACTCAGACGATGGGGAAGAGGAGGAATTGGGAATGCCTTTCTCCCCAGGACCTTCCTCTTCGGCAATGCCTTCCTCCCTGATTGTGCCTCAGGTGTTGGCAGATAACTGAGGGAAAGCCTGAAGCTAATCAGGAGAAGGAGGAGGGCATATCAGAGCAGCCTCTAACAGAGAATCAAGTAGACGAATACTGGCTTGATGCTAGACAATGTCGCAGGAAAAAGTGTGAGCTGCAACGCAGGAAGCGGCGACGAATCAGAGACTGAGCTGAGTGATTGACACACCCTATAGGGGATAAAAGTGGGTGTGTTTTCTCTGAGAGCTCCATACGGGACAAAGTGTGCGTTTTTCTGTGGAGCTTCGGTGTATTCTGTTTATTGAAAGCCTTTGTGATTTATGTTCCTGTTATCTTGTCGGACGTGGCAGGCAGCGTGTGTGATACTGCCAAGAACACTGCCTGCTTCAAAGAATTAACTCTATAACTACTGAATCTTCTTGCCTGCCTGTATTTTGTCAGAGTTGTGGACTTTCCATCCTCATTGGAAAGGTGAGACATAACATATATGTATATGTATATTATATGTATATGTTTTCTTAAGTTTTCACAGGTATTTATATGTATGGTATTCAGCTTTGTTCGGGTATTTTCCCATGTCATTATAGTTGTGCTTTTAAAGTTGTAGCAATGTTTCTTTTATCGGGACTTTCACTAATCACTCAAGTCCCGATAAAAGAAACTCTCGAAATCATCAAAAATAAATACTAACTGCCCAAACACCTCATGGAACTACCAGAACACTGCTTAGCCAACACATATTTCATATATAAAGGACAAAGATACAAGCAAATTGAAGGAGCCCCTATGGGATCACCACTGTCACCCATCATTGCAAACCTGTTCATGGAAGAATTCGAATCCAGAGCCCTAGCCAATGCCACCCACAAACCCAAACTATGGTTAAGATACATCAATGACACATTTGTTATTTGGCCCCATGGAAAAGAAAACCTAAACAATTTCCTAACACACCTAAGCAGCACACACCCCAAAATCGAATTCACCATGGAAACAGAAACAAACAAACAACTACCATTCCTAGATGTACTAATCTACAAAAAAACAGATGGCACACTAGGACACACCATACACCAGAAGAAAACACACACCAACCACTACCTCAGCACCCAATCTCACCACCACCCAGCACAGATAAACTCTGTGGCCAAAACACTAATTGCCAGAACCAAATGCCTGGCAGACAAGACACACATAAAAACTGAACTATGCACCTTTACTAAAGAACTGACAGCTAACAGCTTCCACAAAAGCAAAATCACTGGCTTGATCCACAAAAACACACTGAGACATAATGGAGACCTAGAAGATGAACAGACCTATGGAACAGCTGTCCTGCCCTACATAAGAGTTACTACAGACAAAATCAGTAAGATACTACACAGGCATCACATCAAGACTGCCTTCAAAACAGACAGAAAAATAGCAGCCATCCTAAGAAATCCCAAAGATAAAATTGACCTGGAAAACCAAGGCATATACGAAGTCCCCTGTGCATCATGCCCGCCACATACATTGGACAGACCAATAGAAGAATAAGTACCCGCCTGGATGAACACAAAAATGCAGTAAAAAAGCTGGAACGCAATTCCTCACTAGTCCAACACATGAAAGCCACAGGTCATAGCATCAACTTCAATGGCACCAAAACCCTAGCCACTATAGAAATCCCCAGCCACAGAATTATCAGAGAAGCCATAGAGATTGAAAAAAGACCTGAAAGCATGAATAGAAGAGATGATTCTACCAGTCAATTATTTGGAAGCCTGCACTCACAAACAAAAAAATCTCCACACCACAAGCCAGGCAAACACCTGGGCACACAGACCCCCCCACCCCGCCTTGATACCTCCAGCTCAAACACACCCCAGCCAGGCACCCAGATGAAACCTAGCTTCCTAATAAATGACAGCCATCCATTACTTGGAGCCAAGCCGCACTAAAAGCCTCCAATACAGGAAACACAATGTTGCCAGCCAATCAAGACAAAAAAAGCTACAAAACAGACAGAAGATGTTAGAAACACCAATCAAGCAGAACACAGCAAACTCCAAGATCAATAAACACAGACCAAGACTTCCAATCAATCAGGATGAAGAAAAAAAACATTCTGGCACAGCAGTAGGCTAGCCCCAAATTTAAAACTGAAACGGCTATGAAAGTCTGACTCACAGACGAACACTACACAGAAGCCTGATGATGGCAGATGGGATTCTGCCGAAACGTTGCTACAACTTTAAAACACAACTATAATGACGTGGGAAAATACCCGAACAAAGCTGATATATGAAATTATTTATAGTAGTCCAATATAACTTTTGCATGCAAGTTTACTTTCTCCACTGAGTAAATTATTGAGATTGTATTTATTTATAACCAGCTGAAGTGGAGCCAGGAACACAACTTCACTGATGCATAGAAAGGGAGGCAGGGCCAATAACCAAATTGTTCTACTCAAACAATTCCTTTTAAGAATAAGTTTCATAGTTCTTCTATATCTTCAGGAGGGAGATGCCATGATGAATGAAAAGCTGATTATAATATAATAAACTAGAATATATCTATGCTAATGCTTTTTTGTGTTTTAATCTGTTTTATGCATAGCTGAATCACTGTTTCGAATAATCAGTTTAATTTGGGAACAGAAGATGGTAAGACTGAAATTCCTGTTTATTCTTAAGGATGAAGTTTTTGGACCGAGTTTCAAATTTGCAATGTAAATACATTTTCCTCCTCTCCCCCCGAAAATAGGTTTAAAATGTTTCCAAACTGAAAACTGACCTGGCATATCTTTCATTTTATGTCAAATTGTCAACCTCTAGGTAAATTTGTGGTGCAAATTCATTTCACCAATGCTCAGTCTTTCTTTATGTTTGGTAGTGAATGTTTTCTCTTATTTTTATTATAAATAATACTGTACACATTATAAGTTCATATATTTTACTTTCAAGATGATTGCCTTTCAAGTCATAGAACTCCACGGTTTACTGCTGTGTTTTAGTCATATTCTTTATATTTCTGTTGCAACAAGACCACAGGAATTAATAATTGTAATTCAAATCCAATTATACTGTACATAAATTCAGGAGAATGCAAACCTTTAAATCATTGTCAATACATTTTTTTTGAATGTTTGAAACTAAAAATTAAT